GTTAATAATAAGGCCTATTTTCTCAAAGCCTGTATATAATTATTGAAAAAATTCAAGAAAATATTCTATACAGAAAAAAAACAGGTATTCATATTTATTTATATCTTATCAATTTAAATCTCAAATTTTAAAAATATAGATAATTTTTATCAACATATTTATAATTATTTAGAAAGTATTTAGTTAAAATTTAGAATTTATATATGTAAATATGTAATTTTATCTAAATAATTTATATTACATTTGCACGGTATGTATGAGAGAGAAAGGGGAGGAGGGTGGAGGGAGGAGGAATTGTAAGCACAAGGGATTGGGGGAGGTTGTTGCCGCAATGGAAAAGGAGAAGGTAATGGACGGATGCGGTGCTCACCAGGGATGCTGAAACAACCTATATTGTTTGTCTAGATTTAAATACTTTTTCATTTTTTTAAATAAAAATTTATAAAATTAAATTAATCTGTTATTTATCAATATATATATATATATATATATATAACTCATATTTAATGAGATTAGTTTAAATTTAATACTTTTTTTTTACAATTTTTATAAATTGATCATACAGACTTACTTTAAATTATTTTAAATATGATAATATGATAAGTTAAAAGTTTTGGATCAATCTAATTAAATATGAATTGTATATGTTAGTAATTCATAGATTTATTCCAAATTTTATGAATTTTTATTTAAAAAATATAAAAAAATAAAAAACATGCTTAAATTTGGACAATCCAAATTATTTTAAGGGTCAAGTGCTTATCATCCCTAGTGAGCACCGAGTGTGCTTCGGGACAGATGGCGGTGTGTGCAGAAGAGAAAAAGTGGTAGGTGCATTTCTATCATCTGACATGTTTTTTTTTAATAATGATACAAGAGTTGGTCTCATAAACATCACGTGTTATGTAAGGCAAACACCAAAAAAAAAAAAAAAAAAAAAGAAGAAGAAGTTGGTGCCTATGAAACCAAATTTCAATTTTTAGTATCACGGTAAATATTTTTAATAATATACTCTCTCTATTTAAAAATATAAAATATTTTTAATTAAATTTTATTTTTTAATAAAATAGTTACCTACTTTCCAACTAACCTTATTTTTTCATATTTACCCCTATTAAACACCCTATAATAAATATAAAGTTATTATTAATAGGGGTACTTTTGAAAAAAAGATAATGATTACACTTTGAAAGACTAAAAATGCCTTACATTTTTGAACATCCAGCTCTTCAAAAAATGCCTTACATTTTTAAACGGAGGGAGTAGTATTTTGGTAAATAATTTTCGTTTTCATTGTATGATGGTCAATTTGCCTATTCCATCTATCTCAAGTTATAAGACACTTGCAAACAAAATCATATATACCACTAAAACTTATCAAATACAATTCACAATTTTATTTTTTTAAAATAAAACTACAAATTTTTAAAAATGCCTTTCATTTAATATTTTATTTATAAAAATATATAATATTAATTAAAGAGAGAGAATATAACAAGAAGGATAATATTAAAAAAATATCATTAATAAATTTTATTTTTATCAAAATATTATATATCCTGTGATGTTGAATTTTTCTTAAAAATATTTTATAATTTAGAACAAAAGAAATATAAACTAGAGCCAATCCAATTAATTCAGTCCCATGTGTGTACGGTACACACGCTCTTGCTTAATCAAGTCACATTATCCATAATGTAATATGTAGATTCACAAAAACTTGATAGTGAATTTTATAAAACGAGCACGCATGAGGAAAATATTGTAAACTAAAATATAATGTGTTGGGGAAGAAATGAAGGAGGAGTTTGTACGGTAAAATTAAGAAAAATAATGTTTTTTAAAATCAACCAACCTTTTTGTGAGTGTCGTATTTGCTCTCTGGCTAAAAGAGATTTGTAATACGAGAGGCTGACACTGGCGCCATCCTCCTTCCTCTCTTACCCTACTAGTTTGGTTTAATGTCATTGCACATATGCAAGCATTGCATTATCATTGAAAGAGTGATTAGCTTTTTAAGTGGATTTATGATAATAACTATTACACTTTATTACTAAAATGACAGTAATACTCATTCATTTCTCCCCCTATGACTATGAATTCATTGCATTCTGTTACCATATCTCCATTTTAAAATGATATTAAAATTGTATTGCATCTCATTACATTGCATTGTATCTTTTCAAAACAGCGAGAAATTGAATCAAATGGGCTGTAAGTCTCATAGAAAATCATTAACAATATCAAAATTATGACCATGGATCATCATAGCGTGCTAGTTAGTTGGTGTCATTGTGAGAAATCAATTCCTTTCATTAAATTTAACTGTTGTTAGTATAGGTAGCGATGGAGCTGCGCGTTGGGGTGAGAGGCCAAATACACCTGGGATTTTTAAAAATTTAGTTTATGAAGTCCTTGGAATTTTAACCCGTTTGCCCCCAGGTTATAATATTTTGCAACCACGTCCCTAAGTTTTGAGATTTTGCACTCCCTCGTCAAAGGTTCTGACTTTGCCACTGGGTATGAGTCACATTTTTAATTGCTTATAAATAATAATGTGGCTTATAAGTTTTTTTTTGATATTATTTGACATGCATTTAGATTTAATAGACACTTAGGCTAGGGCTTTCGATAGAGAAGGCAAAAGTTGGATGTGTGTGGGGAAGAGATCAAAGTAAATAAAACATGCACTTTTTTCAAATCTAATGAAATAACATTGTTTTGGGATAATTCCAAAATTTTTTAAATAATGATATATTGACAAAACACTTATAAAATTAACTGATCAATTGATTATTTTTATTTTAATTATGTTTAAACTTTCAAAAAACTGTGGACCAAGGACAAGCTCTAATCCAATTTCACGCCCTAGTCTTGACTCAACCAAAGCTAGAGACTCGTAATTTAAAGGGTAAGCTTGCTTCAATTTAGCATACTTCCTAGTAATAAACTCAATTATAGGAGGGAATGATATGATTTTTTTTTTCAACTAATTTGTTAGTTAAAAATACCATCATAGTTATCAGGAATCAAATAGGCCACCCCCTGGGGTAATCGCCAAAATCTAAAAATCGTCATTTAGCCCATTTTATGGGCCTTAAGTGAATAGCCCGTTTTAAGACTCATTTAGGGTGCGTTTGGTTTTTAGTTTGTCAAAAGTCAGTTTGCTGAAAGTTCATTTGGCAAAAGTCAGTTCGGTGAAAGTCAGTTGTTGTAATGAAATTTGTGTTTGGATATATTTTTTCAAAAGTCAATTTGGCAAACTAAAAGTTGTTTGGATTAATAAAAATTTATGCTTTTGAAATGTACTTTTTAATATGTAATGACTAAAAAGGACATTGATTTATGATAATTTATGATTTTTATTATACAAATGTAATATATTAAAAATGTTTAAAAAATGTGAAACAAATTTAAAATAACATAAAATTTAAAATGTTAAATAATAAGAATAAAAAAATAAAATTTAATTTTGGAAAGAAATATGTAATAAATAGTTAAACATTCATTAATATTGAATAGTTACATGATTAACGGTTCGATTTATAATATACAATCTGATCTCTAATAGAATCCTGAACCCTATTCATCTCTCTATCAAAAGCTATGCTTGAAATTACACTTGGAATTGTTGATGAAAATGCAGGCTCGTCAGTGTCATCGTTAGTGTTAACCATATTTTCATCTTCAAAACGCCTGAAGTTAGAATTAGTTATAGATTTTCTTCTAATAAAATTATGTATAGCCATTGTTGCACCAACAATACAAACTTACTGCACAAATGGATGGCTAGGCATGTGTCGTAAGATTGCGAATCTATTTTTTTAAACCCGAAAGTCCTTTCAATCATAGTCCTTAAGCTTGAATAATAATAATTGAAAATCTTATTATTGTTTGCAAATCTGGATAAATGCCTGAAATCTGGGAGATGACATTTATGAGATCTAAAAGGACCTAAATATCCACGTGGCATTGGATAGCCGGCATCTAACAAATAATATTTACTTACCAATAAAAAAATAGAAATTGTAAGATCCCAAAAAATATTAAAAAAATTTTAAATTAGATAAATATGAAATATACCTTGGGGTGGATGTGGAAATTTCATGTCCGGCCTTGTGAGTGCATAGTCAAACAAACGAGCATAATGAGCAGTCCCTTCCCATCCAGCTATGACATAAATGAAGCACATATCCCAATCACATATGGCCATTATATTTTGTGTTAGAATACCTTTCCTTCCAATATATTTCCTTTGCTCTTCAACATTGACCACACACGGGATATGTGTTCCATCAATTGCTCCTATAGCATCTTTAAAGAATGGCCAATATCATGGATCACCTAAAATTTTTGGATGAATATCTTGAAAAGTGCGATCTTTTAGTTAGATATATTCCTTTGCTAGCTTCTTACAAGTATGCAATACATTTCTAAAATGTTTGTGAATAGTCTCTATTAAATGTTAAAATCATTCTTGTGCCATCCTATTCCCCACTCCATGTCCAACAATATTTAGGAATATATCGATTATTTCATGAATCCCTATTCTTCTGGTTGGACGTAAGTCATGTTGCACTAGTTTGTCACAAAGTTGAATAAAAATATCTTTTTTTATACGAAACATGTTAACAAATGCCCTTGCAAAATTTCTTGCACCCATGCATGACCTGATTGTGAATGGATTCTACAAGGCTCTTTCAATAAAGTTATTGAGTAATTAGATACTATTATAGTAATAGCCTCAACCTCATCGTCTTCCGCATGTACAAGTAATTGTAATAAGCGAGACTACGAACTTTCATCCATAAAAACTGCATAACATAATTTAACAACCATTACACCATTGTTCATGACTTAACATAAGAAACGCATAAAACAAGAGTCAAATAACACAGTTAGTTTTAAAATAAATTAATAACATGAACGACACTAGCTAAATTTAAAACATTAGAAGGCAAGCTAAGATTGATCTAATTTGATTTTTTTACCCACGCACTTCAAAAGGTCACTAATACTCTTCCGTTATCCCTATGCCCAATATACATGTCCCTTACAGTCTTATCTAGTAAGGCCACAATACACTGTCTAAGAAGCGCCTCATCACAAGCAATCTCCTCGATTCCATAAAGTTCTTTTGCAACATCCAACACATTTTGGTCAACTGGTTTTGTTCCACCCTCTATGGAATTAAGAATTGACTTCACTGTTGAAACCCTATCCTCTTGTGTGGACACCAATTGACTCACTGAATCAACCATCACCGTTGCAAGACATTTTTCCTTCTTGTTTTGACTACTTTTACCTCTCTTTCGTTTGCTTCATGAATTAGTACCATCACTGTACGCATTATTCAAGTTAACCTGCCCAATTTTTGGGAAAGCTCCTCCATTAATGTTTCTTACATCATCACTGTCTCCTGATCCTTCGGTCAAATCTAATTAAGGCCTATACACATCTTGCGGATCATCAGTCGCAGATGTCTACATGTAAGTGCCCCGTGCTGCAACTGGCTAGTACAACTGTGTCAATTCTTGTGCATATGGAAGTGGTCTATGTTTGAATTTCCTATACATAGGATTCTCCTGCACATTTACAAGAACTGAGTCTAGTATATTTATAAATAAAATATCAAACGTATAGCATGCCATATATAATTATATACCTTAATCTTTTGATTCCACCACTCCTCCGGTGCTGAAACAGTATTCTTTTCACTATCCCATCCCAAACCAGTCTCTTTGTTTAACAGCTTGTCCCATATATTCCAATCTTTCCTCAAATTGTCCCATTTATTCTTCAACTGCTTCTTATCATAGCTTCTAGAGCTCAAACCATTAAACTGTTGCATTAGTGCCTCCCGACCTTTCTTTGATAAGGTAGAGCCTTTACGCTCATTTTTCCTAACTTGCTGGAGAGCTAATTTAATGAACAATTCGGTCTCTTCGGTAGTCCATAATGCCTTTTCTTTACTCATTTTTACTATCAAAATATCATATTCTCAATACAAATGAAATTTTAGGAGTAAAAATCCATAATTGAGTTAGAGTTAAAATATTAAAAAAGAGACCCAAACAACATTTCACATTTGGAAACTTAAAATTCACTTTTGGAATGTAAACGTGAGCTTTTCCAAACACATACTTAGCCTACAAATCTAATGGGGCTAAGGAAGGCACAATATGGGCCAGCTAATACCAATACCCTTGGTAGTTTCTAAAAATGGTTATGGCTTTCACCCTAGGCTCATGCATTGTATTTGAATCTATACAGTTTAAAACATAAAAATGAACACATGATACTAATAGGAGTTAAGTTTAGTAAAATGAATTAGTCTCTTATAACATGACAAATTAATATTAGAATCTTCACTGAGAGAGATACACACATTTAATACCTAATCATTTCTCAAATATAACTACCTCAAATAAAAAAAAAGAGTAATAGAGAAAAAAATGAAGACATGGCCTTAAAAAATTAAGGAACAAAAGGCGATCATTGAAAAACTACCGTCGGTGGATATAAACGATAAGGATTGGAAGAATCTGTGTTTGCCATGGATGAATGCATTGGTCATAACTCTTCTTGGAAGAAGATTAGGAAGCAAGACCATGCATGATTATTTCACGTCACCTTAGGGTGGTTCGTCAGCTTATAAGTTGATAGATATGGATAATAACTACCATATCATGTGCTTTGATGATTCATCAAACTAGAAAAGAATTCTCTTTGAGGGCAAGTTAGTGATATGGATTAGAGGACCTAATATCTCCCTTTGCAATTTTATGATGTTGGACTTCTTACAGAGTTGGGGAACCGTATTGGAAAGACATTAAAAGTGGACCTGGATATGCTAGTCCAGGAGAGTGAAATGCAATCTAAAGTTGAAAGAGGGCAGTTTATTAAGATATTTTATGTTTTTTAATCAACTCCCACCTTGCTTGGCTAATGGTATCAAATTTTAATTAATCTCTTTGAATTAAAAAAATAAGGAAAAAATATTAACCCCACGGGTTATCAAATTCATGGTCAAATCAATTCTCTTGAGTTTCGTTTACTATGAAGGAAGCTCTTTGATAATAATAATCTCCACAACAGCCATATTACAAACTTTTTGGCCAATTAGCTTCCATAGTCATTCGCATTTCCACTGTTTAAGCACAGTCTTGTGACTTGTGAAGCCATTCCAAACAAAAACCGGCTTGTGTAAATTATAAGGGTGGTCATGCCATCTAGTTATATATATATATATATATATATGTCATTCTTAAAATTATTGTTTTTACTTATATGTGATTTTACAATTTTTGAATTTCAAAATAATATTATTTACTATTTGTTAGTTGATCAATTATTTTGTATCATATCATAGTATGGGATACTCAATGTTTGTTGAAAAATAGTTTAAAAGTAAATATGCTTTTCAACCCTTAATTTTTTATAAACTGTTTTGATTAGTTGCTTGAGAATGCAGTTTAATACACACTAGGTTAATTATAAACTATTTAATTACCAGAATGATTACTGTAATCAAGGATTAGGTATATATAGACACACACATATGCTATATTTTGAGTAACAAAGCATTGCTCACCATAAAAAAAGTATTGAAGGTTGTATCGATCATTGAATTGGTCAAGACATTAATTTAAGGGTTAATGATCAAAACTGTAGTTAAATTATGATCAAACCTAACCAAAGTGGTCTATTAATTCAGTTTAGACACTAACTTGAATTTGAATGCATCGTCCGCAGCATACGAACATGACTCAACATGCACAGTTCCGTATCATGAGATTATTCAATATCGCTTGTAATTTATTTCTTAGGAAGTGGTCTTTGTCTATTAATTTTATCCTTAAATATGTTATTAGTCATGCTTATTACGTTGCCAAGAAAGCCCATTTGATAGAGAGTCCTTTTTGCATCTTTGACTATTTCCTCATCTATAATGATCGATCACTCTCAGTTTTCTTGAATGAATTTCAGTTTTCAGTCCCCCAAATTAAAAAAAAAAACAAGAAAAAAAAGTGACGCATTAAACTGCTGCTGCTTTTCCGAAATGATTAAATGAAGTTTGAGGTGAAGGTTGTTGGCGTCTGATTGCTTGCTTGAAAATAACACATGGAAGAAGAAAATAAAAGCAAGCCGCGGAAATCAAAAGGAATGGCTTATGATGAAGTTGGATTATATTTGTCTGCAAATTTCCTCACGATTTCTTCTACTCTCTCAATTAAATGAAGCTCGCTGCATTTTCCAAGTTTTTTTTTCTTTTTACGTTGAGAATGTTGTTAGAAACTACTCATCGTAGTATGTACATTTGTCTGTAAATTTCACACTTCCCTGGTTAACATTCACGCAAGTTCATAGTCCCCTCTATCTGTGCCGTTCATAATCGTATACGCGTACGCTAGCTTCAGAATGTTGCCCAAAATTTCTGTGTAAATTTACTTGACACTTGGTTGCAAGTTTCAATAGAACATGTTACCCTGCTGTGTATAAATATCATGAAGGGTACCCTATAATCGACAGCATTAGTTTATCTGAGAGAAGGAATAATATTAATATAATTCAGAGAGTGAGATGAGCTCAAACCGTGGAGGCACTAACAGGGAAGATAGGTCACAGTCACAGACGCAGTCCTCTAATGGCACTCGGTTCCCACCAAACACATAGGGCGCTGTATCCCACCCCTCTAACTACGCTCCTTCAAGGGCTCGTGGCACTGATATGCCAACCATACAGGGCGCTGTATCCACAGCAAAGTCACCCCCACCGCCCAACGCCGCTAACATATTTTCAAGGGCTGGTGACACTCGTCTCGCAAACACGCAGGACACTTTTGGGCCTCATTGAAACAATATCTATTTTGCGTCTAGCTAGCAAGGTTAACTCCTTGTTGGCTTCCATAAATAAAGTTAGCCAGCTGGCGACATTTCGGTTCTTTACCTAGAGTCTGTTTATCTTATATATGAACAAATATATTCGAGTCCTAGGAGATTTATAAACAATCTTGTTAATGTTGTTGTTCCGTTTTGCTCCATGTCATGTTATCGTTGGAATATATAAATAAATGAAGTTTAGTGTCAATTTTCTTAATCCTCTTCAACGGCGAAATCAATACATGTTTTACATTTCGGATGTTATTGGCTAAAAATGTAACCATGTTTGTCGTGTTAGGATTATTTAATTAGTCTACCATATGCCATGAAAATAAAATATTATTTTTCACAAATAAACTGAAATTAATTAGAGTTGACTTTTAACGTTATCGACCAACTTTAGTTTCATCTGTAATTCTAAGAGACCTAATTGATCATGACTTATTTTTGAATTTATTTGACTTTTAATTTAGAAAATTGTGAAAGCAATGGATGTGTAAATAAAAAATGGTCATCATAAACTCAGGTTGAAAAAAAATAAAAGTTCCTCTCTTCTACTTTTAATACCATCTCCTCTTACTGCTTTTGTTAGAATACCAAGTAAACAACATTTTCCCAAACTACTCATAAGGCTTTTATGTTTTTTTTTTTTGGTCCTCTCTTCTTCTTTTTTTTTTCCAACATTCAAACCTCTAACCAAATAATTTATCAACAACCATCAACTCCCAAGAATTCAAATAATTGCATATTAATTTCATGATCAAATTTCCTTTACCACCTTCAAGATAAATTTATATACCAACAACACCCGTATAAAATATACTTCTTACAATAATCAGTGAAATTTTAAAAAAATACCACAATTAAGCAAAACTCTTCTACCATGTGGGCACTAATCGTTAAACTAATACCAACATCTTCCTTATCAATTTCACTTCTCAAAAATTTATTAGCATGTATAAACAAATCAAGTTCATTTAAAACTCAAATCCACACCATCGTATGTTTGTTCTTAAAAAAAAAAAAACAGCTTCAACTTAAATGAAATTCCCTTTTATATTAATAAATGAGTAAATGACAGTAGAAAAGCAAGAAAAATTCCACAGTCACAACCTTTACAACATGCACAACCAGATGGAGGAGGGAAGAGAGGTAAGATTCACTAACCATCAAAGCCAATAACGTTGAACCAAGAAGAGGAATAGTCCGATGCTGAGAAGAGAAGCAAAACTCTCTGCTCACACTCATAGAAACCAGCACCGCACGCAAAGAAGACGGAGAAGATCGAGGATTTCCCCTGGCTGCTGTCGCCGGCGCATCTGGAGTAACTGTGATAGTAAAACAGAGAAGGAGGAAGAGAACCGAAATTAAAGCCTACACATACTCAGGATGATATCGCAACCATGAGAGGAGGGAGATGAGCGACGGTGCACGAAGAAGAAGAGCTCGTGATTCCACCTCTTGCAACGGCGTGCAGCAGCAGGCGGAGCTTGTGTACACAGCATGGATGGCGATGGAATAAATGCGAGAAAAAAATGAAGAAGAAGGAGGATGGCGGTTCTGTTTGAAGCTCCTAGATCTCTTGCTGGAAAGAAGACATTGGGAAAGGAATACAAACAAACGATGCGTGTGTTTTCCTCTCTGCCATCGATTTTTTTTCCTAAGGGCATAATAGTAATTTCATAATGAAGTAAAAATGAAAATCCTTCTTAGTGGTCTTGAATGATTCGAACTTGGGACTTGAGTACATTCAACCATACTCATTTCCATAGAGCCACCCATTCACTCATAGTAAAACTCTCCCAAAATAAAAATATAACCAAATATAATCAAAATCCTTTATCATAAAATTTAATCTTATTTAAATTTTTGGGTTATTACAAATGGACTGTTAACTTAATAAAGTTGTATTTTATTAAAAAAATATATCGCAAATGGAAAAACAATATTATCTCCATTGAGCCTTTTCAATAACTAAAATGCTTCTTTTGTCAAGTGTGAAAATAGATATAAATAAATATTATTGATGGACTGTCAAGTGTCAATTGATATTAATTATTAAATAAAGAGAGTAGTGTCGGTACATTTGTAACAA